AGAATGATCTACTGTGTATGGCATAAACGTTAACCAAACGATAATCTTAGGTAGCTCAAGATTATTATCTAAACTAGATATTCCCACCCATTATGTTTAATAATAATGTCATAGCATTCTCTACTAATATAAAGAACCTTGGGCTGTACACTGATGGTTGCTTAAGATGGAACAAACATATACAGGAGGTGAGTCGCAAAACTACTGGAAATTTGCGATCTCTATATCGATTTAAAAACTCTCTTTCCACCAATATCAAGATTTTGATTGTCCAGTTACTTATTGTACCAATTATTGATTATGTCGATGTGTGTGTTGCTCAGACCTGTCTCAACATCATCTTAATACATCGGATCGTCTGCTTAACAACTGCATCAGATACATTTATGGTCTTCGTAAATACGACCATATATCTTCCTTTCGTACTCAGCTAAACTAGCTGCCTATCCGTCGGCGCAGATATGTTAGAATACTCTGCACCCTTTTCATAATTCTGAACGATCCGTGTGCACCCGAGTATCTTAAATCTATCTTAAGTCAATACCTGGGAGATTCTCATAATTGTTCTCTCCGCTCTTCGGCTAATCTTAAGTTGCTGACTCCTTTACACCGTACTGGTTATTAATCTCACTCTTTCGCCCTCACGGCCTTCAGACTCTGGAACGACATCGCTCTTGACATTAAAAAGCTCCCAACAAATTCGTTTTTAAAAATCAAGTCCGTAAGTTTGAACTAACACAGCTCTTATTTTCGTATATATTTCATATTTGTTATGACATAGATAATTTAACAGTAGTAGAGCCACGCGGCAGCTTTGCTGTTGCACGTATGGGCCGGCTCAAACCGGGGTGGTACCACGCCCTCACAGAATACCGGCGAGAAGTGGAAGCTCTGCTTCCGCGTTTCGTCTGGTGAGAGCAGGTGGCTGGAGGCCCAATTCCCCGTCTCTCCATCAATATGGTAGTAGTTCGGAATTAAATGTTAGACTACCCCAGGAGGGTACCAGCACCCCGGGTTACTCCACTCCTGAGCGTGGGTGCTCAGGCTGCCCCGCGTATTCTGGGGAGGGGGGGGGCAATATTCCGCTCAAGACTACAACTGCTCGGGGCAAACGTAGCAACAAGACCAAGGCGACCCCTGCACACGCTATCCGTGAATTTCTGTAATATCAGGGGACTTCTCTCTTACCTGAACGCCATCCAATACCACTTCGAGACGGTGAGGCCAGCTCTGCTCTTTCTGACCGAGACGCAGGTGTCCTCTCCGGCTGATGTCTCGTATCTCTCCTGCCCGTTGTACAAACTAGAACACTCCTTTGTGCCCCGAGCTAGAGTTTGCGTTTATGTCAGAGAAGACCCCTCGCCTGTCCATCAGTTACCTAACACCACACCACTCTACGGGTGTTTCTATAGGTCCCATAGCGGTAATGCCGAAACAGACCGACTCTTCGACCACGTCCAAATGGCTACAGATTGGTTGCTACAGCAGATCCCCTTCGCAGAGATCGTGATCCTCGGTGACTCGGCTTGGTTCACGTTTAACCGATCATGCGGGGAGATATGTTCATGATTTTGCCTTGGCATATGGTCTGACACAACTGGTTACTTCGACCGCGCGGTTTCTAGATGTGGAGGATCATGCACTTTCCCTGTTGGACCTTCTGATGACCTCTCACTCGGACGATATCAGATTTCCATCAACGCCCCTTTAGGCTCTGCGGACCATTGTCTTGCTCGGAGTGTGGTGCCATTCACGCTGAAATCGCAGTTGCATTCTGCAGGCTGCCGCCGTGTTTGGCACTATAGGTCAGCCGATTGGGATAGGATGCGGCCTTTCTTTGCATCCTACCCTTGGGGGCGGGTTAGCTTCTCGCCGGACGATCCCAACGATGTTGCGGATTCTGTCGCTGATGTGGTACTTCAGGGTATGAAACTTTTTATTCCTTCCTCTGTGGCGCCCATCGTAGGCTAATCTCAGCCATAGTTTGGTCGCTCCTGTAAAATAGCATCACGCTATAAGCAGGAGTGCTACCAAGCCTGGACTAAAGCATCAGCGTCCCGGGATGTAAACACCAGGATTCTAAAATAGAAGTATAGTTCCGCCTCCAGGTCCATCAAAAGAGTCATTGCCAAGGGAAAGTCAGAGCACATAGGCAGAATTGGCGAGAAACTAGTTCGTCTTCCATCTGGAACCCGTGCATTCTTGTCTCTCGCCAAAGCTGTCCAGGAGAATTTCTGTCAGCCATCTCTTCCATCTCTGCACAGGGAGGAAGACTCACTAGCCCATACCGCAAAGGAGAAAGCCGATCTGCTTGGCTCTTTCTTTGCGCCCAACTCGACTCTCAGTGACGTGGGGAATACGCCGCCGACCATCCCGCGGTGTGAGTGCTCCATGCCAGAGGTGCAGTTCACACAGCGTTCGGTTCGCAAAGCACTCCTCTCCCTCGACATCTACAAGTCGAGTGGGCCTGACGGAATCCCCCCAATTGTTCTGAGGACGTGTGCTATAACTATATAACTATATAGTGAGTTGGGTCCGGTTTTAACGCTTCTTTTCCTGTACTCCTACTCCCTAGTTGTAGTCATGGAAGACGGCTTTCGTCCACCCGATTCCTAAAAAAGGCGACCGCTCAGACCCGTCCAACTACAGGCCTATCGCCATCACATCCTTGTTCTCCAAAACAATGGAGTCCGTTGTAAACTGCCAGCTCATGAGGTACCTTGAGGATCACCAGCTGATTAGTGATCAGCATCATATCAAACCCCCATTGTCATAAGAGCGTAAGACTTTTCTTCTGAGCTTCACTTAGCCTACGCCTCCCCCGACACAATAAAATATTTTGAGTCGATCTCCGTATATTTTGGTTAGATCGATTTCGAAATCGATACACAACGTGCGACATGGCTACATCTCTATGAAAGCTTCAAAAAGGAAGGTCAGCTACGCCTTGTCGTCCAGTGGTGACAGTGACGTCATCACGATGAAGATTAGTGCTGTGGTTTACTACTGTTTTATTATTTAAATTAATCGCCAATACGGATTTCGTCGTGGTCGATCATCTGGTGATCTTCTGATCTACTCAACTCATAGATGGGCGGAGGCAGTTGTATCCAAGGGGGACAACTGACATTGGCCGTTATTTTGAACATTGCGAAGGCCTTCGATCGGGTTTGGCTTAAAACGCTTCTTTCGAAGCTCCCTTCCTATGGGCTTCCCGAGAAATTGTGCAATTTGATCACCAGCTTTCTTGCAGATCGGAGCATCAAGGTCGTTGTAGACGGTGCAAGCTCCGATTACAAGCCTATTAAATGTGGTGTTCCACAAGGGTGCGTGCGTGCGTGCTGTTTCTTCTGCATATCAATGATATGTTGCAACCCCGTAACATTCATTGCTATGCAGATGACAGCACTGGTGATGTTCTGTACACCGGCCATGACAATATTTCTCGGGAGAACGTCTCCGAGTGCCGGGACAAACTTGTCGAGCCGATTCTTTGCAGAACAGAATCTCGGATTGGGGGCGACTAAATCTAGTCCAGTTTAACCCCCAGAAGACACAAGTTTGCGCGTTAACCGCTAAAAAGAACCCCTTTGTCGTATCTCCTCAGTTTCAAGGCACTCCCCTTGTTGCCTCAGCCAGTATCGGAATCCTCGGCGTTGACATATCGAGTGACTTGCAGTTTCGTGGTCACTTGGAAGAGAAGGCCAAATTGGCCTCTAAAAACTTGGCGTGCTCAGCAGAGCGGGACAGTATTTCATGCCGGCACACCGCCTGCGACTTTACAAGGCGCAGGTTCGGCCGCACATGGAATATTGTTCCCATCTCTGGGCTGGGGCTCCCCAGTACCAGCTCCTTCCACTTGACCTCATTTAGCACAGAGCGGCTTGAATCGTCGACGACCGAGAGCTTCTCGATCGGCTCGATTCACTGGCACTGCGAAGAGATGTTGCATCTCTTTGCATTTTATTTCGCATATACCATGGAGAGTGCTCTGAGGAATTGTTCGGATTAATCCCAGCCGACAAATTTCGTGAACGCACTACGCGGCAAACGTCCCGATACGATCCACACCATATGGATGCTTGGTGGTCCACTACTGTACGTTTCAAAAGGAGTTTTCTTTCGCGTACAACCTCTCTGTGGAATAGTTTACCATCGGCGATTTTTCCGGACCGATACGACCTGGGGACCTTCAAGAAAAGAGCTTACTCCTTTCTAAAGGGCCGGTAATGCACCTGAAATTCCCCTGGTGTTGCGGTTGATCATGGGCGGCGTTATTCACTTAACATCAGGTGAGCTGCATGCTCGTTTGCCCCTCTTCTATTAAAAAAAAACCTAATTAGCACCTAAAATCCCGTATTTACGAACAAGATTCACCAATCTTAAGCTCACAAAATACTTTTTTCTCACTTAAACCAACTTGTAAACTCCTTAGATCGCTACGAACTGTCAAAGTTGTTTAGCAAAGTGTAGTTTGCTAAACAAAGGCACCGGAACCGGCACGGAGAAAGGGACAAACAATCACACCGCTCTGTCTCATTTCTAAGCAAAACGTATGCATAAATCTATCTTTTTCGTGTGCAAATGCGAAAGAAGGCGTCTATTTGTCTATAGGTTTCTCTGTCTACGATTTCTGTAGACAGAGAAACCTATTCTCTGTCTACGTCTATTTCTATCATAGATTACTGTATATGATTTCTATTTATCTATGATTTTTACTTGTCTATGTGATAATGATAGGTTTCTTCTGGAAATCACAGACACATGGAAATTGACTAAATTCTAGGAAATGCTGACGCTGTACGGTTCTGTACGATGTCACGCCATTGTAGATATCGATTTTAAGTTAAACTGTAAAAGACAAAAAAAAATTTTTATTTATTGTGACTATGCAATTTAGTGTTAACTACTGAGAGTAGCTATAGAGCTCTTTCTTTTCAATCACACAAATTTAACATGAAGACTGTGTAGATTTTCACTAAACATTGATGTCCTCAAAAATGATGGAAACACGTTATTACGAGGGTTGTGGACGTGAAGGTCCCATACGGTGTATATTTCTGGGAGAGTTTCATCCCATTGCTGGCCCAAAAATATCGTGTCAGGTTCGTTAATCGGTTTGTTTTAGTGTGGATCAATAATTAGTAACTAGAGAGTTTGTACCAAAATATATGAAACTTCATAAGTCCTAAAAATTGCATTACTTTTTCCGTAAGTTTTGAAGAAATTGTAACATTTCTATTGTTCTTACTAACAAATTAAGTACTCATGTTTAAAAAAAATTATGCAATTATTTTTTAACAATCATGAAGGAAATTTTAGTTATTTACAATTTTAGTGTTATCTAAAAAATTATTTCATGGAGTTATTGATTTCCATAAACTTGTTCTCAACATTAAATGCTTCAGTCATAATTGAACTTAAACATTAATTTGTCTACATAGTTATAATTAACATCTATCACTTCCTTTGTTTAATGTAAAATCTTGAAAGATTATACAAGAATATGTTATACAAGGTTACATAGGGCTAAAAATTTAAGGAATTAATAAAGCATTTTCAGGAAATAGGTTGGGTTAAACCAGTAAACAAAGGAAGAGCCACACCTTTTATTTCATATTTACTCATTTTTAGGGTACCCGGTATTAATTTAATCTCGTAAGATTTATGTTTTTCCTAACATAGTAATTGGGAGTGCATGAAAACCTAAGTTTAAAAGAGAAGTGAAGTTAGACTAAACTGACGGCTTTATGCTACAACCTATCAACTATTACAGATATATATTATTACCTTCAAATCATCACAGTTTGCTATCACATGTTATATCATGATCCCATTATAATGTCACGAAGTGATAGTTGGATGTTGCCTCATTATGTTTAGGGTATTGGTCTTATGCAATATTAATTAGTAGAAATGTAATGCTAGTACATTACTTTAATCTCTTAATCCCTAAGTGGTGGAATTCGACCGCTGTGCTATTCCGTTAAACCCCAAATGGTCGAATCCAACCATGCATACCCACATACTTTAAACTATTAAAACATATTTAGAGACTACTTTTCTATGAAAGTAGTTTGACATTATAGAATCAATATGAAATTTTCTATCCTATATCCTAGTTCAATAAAAAAATAGTTTATCGATATTTATTTATAATCTATGTTCATTATGTATGCCATTTTCATTTAGATGTTGTTGTGTTGATTTTTGGATTTTTCTAGTGTTTTAGTATAGTGTTTTATTATAAAATTGTTATAAAAGTCTTTGCATGAATATAATTTATCTTTTTAAGTAAATTTCGAGTAATATGTAGAAATAATAGTGATTTTCATGCTGCCGAAATCCGCTTGGTATTAACCCGTTTTTTGTTATCAAAAAACAATGAAGTCTTTTTGTAATGAAGTAAAACCTGACTTGTTTGGACCACAGGATAGAGAATTTTGTATAGATTTTATAATGCCAAACTTCTTCATAGAAAAGTGGTCTCTAAATATAAGTTTTAATGGTTTAAAGTGCTGTGGGTGGGTGCGGTTACATGCGACTGCTCGGGATTTGACAGATGCATGCGACTGCATGGGAATTTATCGGGATTAAAGGGTCAAAAAATGACTGTTTTGTGTGTCTCCTATGCACATATAAGCTTTTAAGTATGAGAGTATTTTTAAGTCAGGATATGCTTCAGTGACCTACGGGCTTTTTTCTTTTTATTCTCCGACTGCCAAAGAAGGGTTATGTTTTTCATTCATATCTTGTATGTTTGTAAATTTCTTTATAACCACATATCTTCCAAACGGCTGGATGGATTTCGACAATTAAGATATTGTTTTATTTGTCTATAAAACCCAAGTGTTCTTAGATAGAAGTAAACAAAATGTCGGATTTTTGGTGCAAAATAATAAAACATTAATTTTTTTTTAACTAAACCTGTGGAATTTGATATCGAAATAAAGGGAATTAAAAGGGGACTAAAAGTATACATATATATAAGTGGTATGTTTAAATTTATTTATGTTTGTAAATTTCTTTATTACCTTATGTCTTCCAAACAGCTGGGTGGATTTCAACTTTTTTTCATCATTTTATTCGTCTTAAAAATCAAGGCATTACCCAATTTAAAATTATAAACTGAAAGAAAACTAATGTGTTCCGCTTGCTTCTAAGTTTAATATATAACTTAGGCTACTTTACTTAGGCTTTCAGCTCTTTATATAGTCTGTTAAACCGAAGTAGAGTTTACTTTGTTTATAGTTTACTTTAATTTTGTTTTCTATTGTCAATCTTGTTTCGGTCCTTTTAGTGCATTACTTTTAAATTGTCTTTTTTGCAGTCGGGATTTAGATTTTTTTAATTATTAATTTTATTGTATTTCATTATATATCATTACAATGTTACAAAAGTCAGCATAACTTTAGAACTGCTCCAAAAATCTACATAGAAGTAAGAGGAAGTCTGTATGTAGCAGTGGAATTTTATATAGGCTATTATAAGTTTACTTTT